GGCTATTTGACCGACTTCGGTGTGGGTCTCGGCTTGTGGGCCCGTGCGCAGGCAGATGGCGCCGAGCCGCCCACCCTGCTAAAGGTGTTCCTGTTCGGGTCCGGCGTCTTCTTCTTCGGTCTCGGCGGAGTGGCGGCCATGGAGACCCACCCTGCCTGGGGCGCACAGGCAGCTCTGATCCCAGCCGCCATCATGGCAGCCGTGGCTGGTGGCCTCGTCCCTGTGATCAAGCCGGGTGCCAAGAGCGCTTGAGCCCGGCATGGGCTGCACACAGATGCACAGATAATGAGTTAGGTGCCCCAGTGCACTACACCACATGGGATGCCATGTGACAGGTTTTTTCTCTTGGGGCGGCAGGGCCCACTAGCGGCAATTTTAAACACACCCGCTCGTGAATTAGGGCATATGCCTCATATGCCACTTACCAAGCAATGCGAGCCGGCAGCTGTACGCTAGGGTGCTTGTTTGCAGGACGGCTTATTTACAGCATTGCTTTGCAATTCGTGACAACGTCAAAACCCTCCAGACCCATATGCTGCGCAGCATTTGAGAAATCGGTGACGCCTGCTCGTGCCTTGTTTTGGCTTGAGTTGTTCACGATCTCGCTTTCACGGCGGCCAGTGTTGGATGAAGGTTGTTTCTTTTTTTAATGGCATTGTGGTGGTGGCGCTCGTTCAACTAGTCATACTTGCTATTGCCGGAGGTAGCAGTCGCAGGCGCAGCATGAGGAGCACGAGTAGTAGAAGTAGAGGTCTTCGTGGCTGTAGTAGTAGTAGTAGTAGTAGTAGTAGCAGCAGCAGCAGCAGCAGCAGGAGTAGCAGTAGTAGTAGTAGTAGTAGTAGTAGTAAGCAGTAGTAAGTAGTAGTAAGTAGTAGCAGCAGCAGCAGCAGCAGTCGTGGTGGTCGTGGTGGTGGCTAAAGAAGAAGAAGAACTAGAAGAAGTGAGAGTAAGAGTAGTCGTAGCGGGAGTGGTGGTGGCGGTGGCAGCGCCAGAAGAAGTACTGGTAATTCATAGTAATAGTTGTCGTCGTCGTGGTCGCAGTGTTGTGTTGGCAAGTGAAATGCTTCCGTGTCCTCCTCCTGGCAGCATTTGCAGCGGTATGCTGCTGGCTGTTCTGCGCTCGTGGTGTTCAGACGGTGCTGAAGTTGACGATGATAGTGAGGATGCTGTTCATGAGAGTGGCGAAATTTGCGGAGTGTTGCCAGGACTGCTGCTGCTCGCTGTTTGCACGAGTTCCATCCACCGACACATTCAGAGATCAACCCTAAACCCTATAAACCCTACGAAAAAAACCCTACGACCCCAAGCTCACTGGACACGAAACCCAAACAGTTTTCAGTCAGAGAAGCTGGATGCACGGCCAGGCAGAGAAGCTGGCACCACGCAGTGCCATGGCCGCTGGCTGCAAGGGTTGTGATCAGGGATAGGATTTAGGTTTGGGGTCAAAAGGGATACTAGACCAGCTGCTCGAAGGGATACGGTTGACGATATAAATCCTGCATTTCCTTACGGGCCCTAAACTATGGGAATTATGGTGTATTTATCGGTAATGCAGGATTTATATCATCAACCGTAGTGTACGGGGTTACTGTCAGGACTTACGGCTTTGTGGTTCTGGGGTTCGGCCTTGCACTTTAAGTTTAGAGCTGGGAGCCTGTTAGGGTCTTGAACGGACACCGGGCTTCTGCAGTTTAGGAGTTTGAAAAACAGAAATAAGTCAGAAATGACCTCGGTGCTCCAGCGCACTACTCCACATGGGATGCCAAGGCAGAATTTGATGGGGCGGCACGGCCCAGTTGCGGCCAATTTTAAGCTCGCTTGCTCACGAACTAGGGCATACTCATAAGCCACTTACCAAGCAGCGCATGCCGACAGCTGCATTGCATTGCATTGCACCGCACCAAAAAATTTGCGGATTGGGCAAGACCTTCCAGACTCCACCCTAAAATCCCTGAACCCACCTAAATCCCCCAGGTACCTACTATAGAGGGTACTAGAGCCTCTAGGGCCCTAGGGCCTTATATAGTAGGTACCTGGAGGGTTAGGGCCACACTGCGCAGCACTGAGAAAAAAACCGTCCTGGCTGCTTTTGGCTCCGCGCCCCTCGCGCGATAGCAGTGAAGAGAACCCAACCAGAGCCAAAGGCTCCAAAGTAGGTCCTCTATACTTATAAACCCTAATTAAACCCTAAAAGCCCCAACCCTAAACCCTAATGAAACCCTAAACCCTAAAAGCCCTAACCTTAAACCCTAACTACACTCTAAACCCTAATTAACCCCCTAAACCCGAATTAAACTCTAAGCACTAATTGAGCCCCTATGTAAAGCCCCCGAACATGCGAGCTTCCTCGCCCAAGCACAGGACCTTGCTCGAGCCGGTGCTTGGGTTAGGCTTGTGTTTCCTGCATACTCAGGACAGCTTCTTCGGCCCGGGTTTTAAGCCCAAGGAGATGTTCGGCATGAGAAAGGCCTGCCGACTGAATTGATCTCGGCTGTTGTGGACGGTTGAGATCCCCTCACCTCATGAAAATCGCAGTGGTTCTGCAATGCACTGCAGAAAACGCACCTTCTTCGGGAGACATTTCGGAAATCATTTTGGAGCCTTGAGGGTTGTGGGCCTCGGGAAATTATGGGGTTTCGGTACTTTGGGTATATGATACTCTATATCAGGAACCCTAGGCCCTAGAGAATAGTAGTTACTCAGGACCTGAGCGTCCAAAAAGGTGCCTTCATGCTTTCTTCAGCAATCAACCTAGTCACAGGTCATCTGATGTAATCACCCATAGCTTCCCCTCCTAGCTGTCCAGAGGAGAGCACCGGCATGGGCGAGGGTGAGTTGAAGGTAAAGCTGAAGATGGGTGCGGATTTCGTCGGCACCACAGGACGGAATCGGTTCAGGAAATGGAGCTTTGGGCTTTTTGTGTCACTCAGGTGGGGTCGTCTCATGTTGTTCGCCTGCTTTGTTGCCTCCCGAGAATGCATGTAGAGAAGCAATAGATGTTTGTGGCATTGTAGCACAGACACGAGTGCCCTGTCTTTCACTACGCAAGTAGCAGCATCAGAATTAGCATTACGCATGATGCGCCCGACCTTGGAATCAAAACTTAAACTTAGGGTTTAGGGTTCAGGGCTAAACCATCTTGCCTAAAAGAGAGCTGGATGTCCATATGTAGTAAGGCATGCCTCCGAAACCTGGGAACCCTCAACCCTAAACCCGGTTATCGTCTGAGCGCGGAATGTGTTGTTTCTCGCAATTCATCGTAGAGGTCTTGCCTTTTTTACCCTACTCCCTACGTATTCCTTAAAACCCTAAACAATCACTGCCCGACAGCCACCGAAACCCTTTCAGCACCTTGTGGCCTGCCGCGGCTCTGTGATGAGAGGAAAGGTGCTCTTTCCCGCCGAGTGCTCCACGCCGAAATTCATCGAGTCCTACAAGAGCCTTGGTTGCGAGAAGATAGGGGTTTGAAGAATCAGTATAAACCGCAATGATGTTATACTACAATTTGACTATCATGTACCCCAAAGCCAAAGCCCTATTTTAATTGTCAAGGTTCTTGCACAAGGCCCGCAGTCGCTGATGCATATGAGGTCTTTGACCAGGAGATGATTTAGTCCGCTCCCTAAACCCTACTGCAACTAACCCCTAAACCCTAAACCCTTATAAACCCTAAGCCGTATTGCCTTCCACGCCGTTCCGACTCGACGGCCGCGGACCCTCCGAGGATTCGTGGTCATATAAACCCTAAACCCTAAACCCTTGCATGTTTTGTCGCAGTTCTTGTAATCGGCTAATGCCTTCTCAAGGTGTCTTCTTTAGGGTTTAGGGTTTAGGGGTTTAGGGTTAGCTCAGTTCAAGCCTGTGGAAAAGGGGTTTAGGGTTTAGGGTTGTTTCGTAATCTAAAGCTCGGCTTTCCGAACCACAGAAGTTTGGAAAATAATCCCCTCGGCGTGCAAGGAAGATCCTCACGACTGCGAATGCGTATGCTGCAGAGATTGCCTGGTGGTGCAACCGCAACCCCGTGCCTTGGCATTTGCAAGTTCTGGCGTCGCCGGATATGTCCGAATGCTGACGGACTAAACCTCAAAAGCGGTACTTCCAAGGTTGACTAGCGGATGAAGCTTCACGTGTGTAAGGATGTCGTGCTCAGATGTGATAATGTCCTTGCATGTTGACAAGGGGGCCCCGAATAGTCTGAATCACACAAGCCTGACACGATCGCGTTGGTTGAGCTTGATGCTTCGCAGTCCCCAGCGCCCTCCGGTGTACTCAAATTCACCCTCCCGGAATGTTTTTCTCTTGGAGTCTGCTCCGTTTCCCTGTCTGACATATATGATAAGGACTACATCGCATGGAGCCACGGCAACCTGAACGTGGATAATGTCTTCTTCTGGCGAACCGCCGAGGGTGCCACCGGCAGAGCTTCGTCACAGTCCTTAGCTTCGCAGTTTTGGCGGGGTGTCGTCAGCCGACTGTTCTTTTCGGAACCACCTAGGAGCATTGCGTTTAGGGTTTAGGGGACCTTTCATTGTCCCTGCAATGCCACCAGCCGTCGAACCAATCTTTGGGATTGCAGAAGTTTTCCTGCTGGAGTTGCATTCCTATTCGCTGACTCGATCGTCGTGAATGCGAAAGTCAGCGCCATCGACCAACAAGTGGTCATTCTTTTCAATGGCGCCGAAGGGCGATTCCGTGGTGAGACCGTTGCAAGGCAAAGTCGCAGATGTGATCAGTTTTCAGTTGAAGGGCTTTTTGCGGGATCGTTGTGCCGTCTGGAAGTCGGCACTGCGACGCTTTGGTGCGATTTCCGCAATCTGGTTCAGCCTCCTCCTTGTACTTCCCGTGCTCAGCTTCTTGATTTGTGCGCTTATCCCGCTGGAATCATCCAAAGCTGGATGTTTTGGCCAATTGGACCTTCAATCTCTTGGTCCATCCTCTGCTTAACTATGTTATCGCTAGGCAATTCGGCCATGAAGACCGCATCCGTACTCGCTGGATTGGTCGCTTGACGTGAGTCTTTTTGCATCTTGGCTCACCTGATGGCATCCTTTGCCGACGTGCATCTCATTCCCAGAGAGTCCAATACCCCTTCATTAAGGAATATACCTTAAATTATAGGGGCCTTTATATTATGATTTAAGGTATATTCCTTAAGGGGTATTGGGCTCTCTGGGTTCCTGTCTCGCCGGCCTTGGCCTACATTCCTGGTTGTTGGATCTCCATGGCTCTAAACTGGCCGGAGCTTCCTTGAAGTTCAACTTTGCCACCTGGGCTTCCGGGCTGTCACAATTCCTCATCTTTGCCTCTTGGACCTTGAAATTTCCTGCCTTGTCCGCGCACTTCCAGGTGCTCAGCACTGTCGGAATCGGTCTTCTTATCGCCTCATGGTTGGATCACAGAGAACTGTGGAGATCGCATGGGCCTCCTTAGGTCTTAGGTTCCTGGTCGACCTAAACGGTCTGCATGTTCTTCATCGGCCTCTTCGGCTCTGCGACGGTGATGTCGTCGGTGAGGTTTTTCTGGATGCTGGCATAAAGCGCTGGTCCTGGTTGTCATGGCGATGCCGCTATGCGAGCTTGCTTAGGCCCTCGAAGAGGAGGACGGCCTCTGCGGTCCATCCGAAGAGGATCCGGCAGCCTTGCCCACATCAGGGGGACAAGCACGCTGCCAGAAGCTGTGCACGGACTGCGCACTGGCTCAAGCTTCAACACAAGCTCAGAGTTGCAAAAAGAGCGGGTCAGAAGCTGCGACGTAGAGACCGGAACCGAGAAGGATATGCATGCTGCCGACATTTGTCCTGCATATGCTCTTCTCTGCTGAAGATCTTGAGAAAGTGTTGTTCCAGCTTGGCAAGAGAGGTTTGTGAGCTCGTCGCTCCCATGTTGTACATGATGATGATAGCATCCCATCGTCGGTATGTGGATGGCAACCGGAGGCATGGTGGGCAACTCCGTCGTGGTAGCTATCGAGGTGGTTGTGTTCCCACGTCTGCACATCTGTCTTCTCCGCATGTTCGGTCTCAACTTATGGGAGTTTACAGCCGTGCCCCGCCAAGACTGCTCGTTTGATTTCTGTGCAATTTCGATAGCATTTCGGAAGCTAGGGTGTTATAAGTTTGGTCGCGCAGTAGCTGGAGGAGGGCTGAGGATTAGCTGCGCAACTCAGCCCTAAAATGCCCAGCCTCCGGTGCGCTGACTCTCGGAAGCTTCGCTTGTCAAGCAATTTTGTGGGAGTTCGGGAAAGTATCGTTGACGAACGCCCGTCCCATGTACGAGCAAGGCAAGAGACGGAGGGGCAGGTTTAAAACCTCGATGCCTCTCAGAATGGACCTTGGAATGCTCACGGTTGTCTTTTCGTTGCATGGGCGATTGGCCCGAGCATCCATATCGTCGGGCACGTGGTTTCAATGAGTTCAGTGGGGTTCGTGCCAGTGTCAATCCATTTCAAGTTTATGCCCGAGACCCCCAATGGAATTCCTGCTGTAAACTCCATGGCCCTTTCACTTGTCCCTGGTCTGTGGGACCAGTGGCCCTGAAGCCCTGCCTTTTTTTGTTGAGACTCGAAACCCCACATGGGAGTTTCCGAAACAAGGGGTACCTTATTTTGGGGGTCCTTGTAATAAGGATCCTACTATCTAAGGTGCTCTATTAGGGTCCTTATAATAAGGACCCTACTTTTTAAGGTACTCTATTAGGGTCCCCCTATTTTGGGAAACCTCCCCGCATGAAGCAGGTGCTCTGGACCTGGGCATTCTGGACTGGGGAGGCCCGGGCAGCCCCTGATTTCACGGTGTTGAGTCTACACTCGGGTTTAGGGGTTTAGGGGTTAGGGGTGTAGGGGTTTCGGGGTTAGGGGTGCAGGGGTTTAGGGGCTTAGGGGTTTAGTGGTTCGGGCAGAAAGGCTGTTAGGGGTATTTGGTTGTTCAGTTGTGGAGGAGAGGTTGAGGTCTACCCTTCTATAACCCAATCCCTTCACCCCGGATTCACCCCCCGACAGATTTCAAAACGACCCCAACAGTTTTCCAAATGAGGGCTTCATTGCAAGCCGAGTGAGTAGCCGATACATGCATGCATGCACATTAGTAACATACATACATACATGCATACATCAAACGCGTCATGTGTGACCGGGCATATGCACAAATCTAGCAGCACATGAGTTGGACTGCAGTAATTTTCTTTCTGGTTCGCGAAGTTATTTGGTTATCAGGTGACTGAGTCCATGCGAGAGAGAGAGAGAGAGAGAGAAGTTGAGATCAACGTGTAAGTCTGTTTCTGCACCTGGCATACCCGAATGCCCGTGTGATGGTGATGTGAAGCAAAATTACTCCCGGTCGTGTTTGCGGTAGCTTGCCATCTTAAACCGGAATTCCTGGCAACCTCTCCTGTCCTGCAACACCCGGAAGTGGTCATAGCGAACCTATGTACTTGCACCGGATTATGGGAAGCCAAGCATAGTTTTTTTGATAGAAATGAAACACAAAAAGACCCCGGAGCCTCAAAGCCCACCGCTGGGAGGTGCTTCCAGTGGCTCCATGGGATGGAAGCTCTGGTGGTGGCTGTACTGCTGCGAATATGTCCCCGGCATGAACTTCAGAGGAGTACTGAGAAAGATGACGACTACGTGATATAACTACTACAAATGCAAGGACAATGGGTCCTACTCCTCCACCTCCTACTGCTACTTACGATGACGACTACTATTGTTACTACTACTACGACGACGACTCGTACTCTTACTCCCACTCCCACCCTTACAACAGCAACAACAACTACTACTACTCCTCCTCCTCCTCCTACTCCTACTCCTCCTCCTCCTCCTACTACTACTACTACTACTACGACTACGACGACGACGACGACGACGATTACGACGACGAGGACGACGACGACGACGACGACTACTACTAAGCCCGGCAGAGGCGCAAGTACTTCGTCTGTCTCTGCTGAGCTGTTAGTGCCAAGAGAAAACGTTTCATGTACCGGAGATTCCCGTGTCCTTGCATTGAGACACCAGCCGGCAAAGCCTAAGCTGTGAACCCAAAGCTCCAAGCAGGGAGAACATCTAACTGGAGGACGTTGAACTTTCAGATCTTCGACCTGGGACTCAGAAAACAGAGGATCCGAAATATAGAACCTCCAGGCTGCAGGATCCTCATTGCAAGGGCTGAAAAGAGGGTAGCCCTTTTCTGAAACCTCGGAATGAGGACTTTCTGAACTCCACTTTGGATCAGCTGCTGGATACTTTCATCACCGAATACCAGGCGGCGGTACTGCCTTCTTTGAGGTCCGAGGCTTGAAGCGCAACAGAGGCGCCGAAAGATCCTGAATTTTGAAGCCTAAACCAGTGCCACTATTACTTTGGGAGTTCCTTGTTACAAATCTACAATTAAAGGAGCCCTAAACCCTACTAAACCCTAAACCCTAAACCCTAAACCTTAAACCTAAACCCTATTTTAGTGATCAAGGCCCCCAAGACTCGGCGAGCCCCCACTATAATGCTCGAAGCCCTAAGCCCTGAACCCTAAAGCCCCGAACCGAGGAGCTCTTTGCCTTTGGAGTTCTGTCGGGGCTTATAGGGTTCAGGGTTTAGCTAGGGTTTAATATAGGAGTCGGAATGGTTATTCATAGCATCCCGGTATCATCCCCGTTTAGTCACGGTGTGCTTTGCTAGTGGTTTCCCCGTACATTCCCTCTATAACCGGTACATTCTATCCAAATGGTATTAATGGTATACCCTTTTTGTTCCCTGTGTAGTTTTTTTGCAGAATTCACTAAGGCTCCGATAATAGGAACCCTGAACCCCGAATCCCGATACCCTGAAATCCCTAAAAAAAACCTAAGAGGAAGAGGGTCCTGCAAAAAGAACCCTAAAACCCTAAGCCCCTGCTAGGTGAGCCGACCTGGTTACCCTGAACCCTACACCCGATGAGCGTTAACGATGAACCAGTAGCATCTTCAGACCTTGCCCAACTTTGCCCTGAGGGGTGCGCATCAACAAAAGGCTCTAAACCCTAGAAGCCACATTGCTCGAGTTTCCGCCAGCCCTAAGCCCTAAACCGTAACAGCCCACACCCCAAGACCCTAAACCCGTTGCCGATAACCTAGATGTGGGAGCAGATCAACACTCCGGAATGGAACCTGAGCCCGTATGGGATCGAGACGCGCCGCGTACCCGTGCACGAGGGATCCCAGGATGTAGGGCCTGAAGTGCCGAACTAGGATGAAACTTTCCGACGAGAGACTTTCAGCTGTGAGCCAGACAACTACGGATTGGTAGGTTGTACCGTCATGGGAAAGGTGTTGTATCAGGACTCGCTGAACTTTAGTTTGGCCTCTGTCAGACGTCGAACCATTCCTTGCCTGGAGTGTCCGAGTGTGAGCGGCGAAAAGCCTAACCCCCAGAAGCCCCAAACCCCAAAAGCTTTAAAAGCCTAAACCCAGTTCAGAGCCTATGAAGCCATGCCTGCGTGCGTGCGTGAGTCGAAACCCCAAAAGCCCTGAAACCCTACCCCACAAGCCCTGAAACCCTATACCAAACCCCCAAAACCCCAAAAGCCCTGAAACCCTAAACCCCCAAAACCCCAAAAGCCCTGAAACCCTAAACCCCCAAAGCCCCAAAAGCCTGAAAACATCAAAAGCCCGGAACAAAACCCCAGAAGCCCTGAAACCCTAAAGCACCAAAAAACCCCAGAAACCCCTGAAACCCCAAAGCCCCAGAAGCCCTGAACTGTAGGGCCCTATAGGGTCTCGGACAGGCGAACGGAGGCCCTGCGCTCGACCGAGAGGAGCCCCACAAGTTCTTAAAATCAAAAACCCAAGGCTTTCTAAAGCCGCAGACAGGTTTCGTCGAAAGGTTTCCTGAAGTTCCTTTAAAGGGCTCTCCATAGGTCCTTCTAAGGATTCTAAGGCCCCAGTAAGGGTTTCCTAGGTCTCTTGAAGTTCCTATAAAGGGCTCTGCCCTTAGGAGCTCCCCGAGGCTTTCTTAAGGATTCTAAGGCCCCAGTAAGGTTTCCTTGAAAGGTTTCTTGAAGTTCCTATAACGGGCTCTTGATGGGTCCTAAGGCTTTCTAAGGATTCAAAGGCCTTGAAGTTCCTATAATCAAAGGGCTCTCCATGGGTCCTTTGAGGATCTTCAGAGGCTTCTTCATGGACCTTGGGAGGATTCTTGAAGAATCCCGCATCACTGAACTCCACCGGAGAAGCCCGGGAGCCCAACGCGCCAACTAAAGCAGCAGTCCTGGGGCAAACGGATACACTCCAAAACACCCTAAAGGGAAAAAGCGAAAGATTTTGAAGCCCTAGAGATTCACGAGCCCTAAGATTCATAAACCCTAAACCCAACGATTCACAAACCATTTCTCAAACCGTAATAATACAGGCCCGAAAACCAAAGACCCCGAGGCCCTCAGGGGTGTAGGGTGCAGGAGTTTAGGGGTTTAGGAGTTCAGGGTTTCGGGGTTTAGGAGTTCAGGGTTTCAGGTTTCGGGTTTTAGGGTTTAGGGGTTGTGGTGGCAATTGAGTCTGGGTTCAAAAAATGGTAGCAATTGACCCTCAAACCCACCTGCAGGAGCTCCGATGGCAGTTCACCCTCTCTGCGCTGGCTCAGGGTGTGGGTCTTCTTGGCGCCGTGCCGCAGATCTACAAGATGTGCAAGAAGACGGATCCCTGAACTTGTTTAAAGTTTAGGCTGCAATGAACATCGTGTGATCCCAGGGCCCGTGATGAAAAGCATGTGCAACCTTCAAACTCTAGACTTCTGGGGCCGAGACTCCTCGATAAAACACTGGTCCACATGGTTCGGATTTGAAACAGCCCCCGAAAAAATCTAAGACCAGCAGATCGATCATGATGTGGCCGGCATCCCACTCCTGCCGAGGTGCCTATCGTTCTCAAGCAGAGACTCAACTCCCTACATGCTGTATTCGGGGCTTGTCGAAACATCTTGCAATTGGTTTCGTAAGGCCGCTCCCAATGAAGAAATGGCCCCGAAATTTGGTGAATTATAATGCTTGGCCATGCAAGGCAGCATGACCAGCTGCTTTTAGCATGCACTTGCCCCGTACCTGACCTTGACCTCGTTCCGGCTTTGGCCTTTGACATCAACCCTTCCCCGAGGAGTGGCCCACCATCAAGAGCCGAAAGGACCCGCGCATCGTTAACAACATCGATGGCAAGAATCTTGGTCTGATTACGGTAGGGTTTACTTCAATACTAACACTAGACCCCCTAGACCCTGGACTTTGTCTTTGCGAAGTAGGAGGCAACAAAAACCCCTTCACGTTTTCAAACATCCTACCTAAACCAGTGTTCGCCGGCGTCAATCCATGCAGGATCCTAAGGACCTTGGACCTCACAACTTATTCAAGTTATTCACCTCTTCCAATAATTCCCATAGTTTAGAGTTCCCAAACCCAAAGTTTTCGGATTGTGATATACTGTAGATACTTTCGGGGCTATGTGGCAGAAAGGTCACCAACTATCCACGCCCCTGCATGGCGATGTAGTTTCGGGGATTTTGCAGGACGCAGCACCACGAAATTACTGCAGGTAGTCTGTCTGAGCCACGAGTACTAGTTCCCTGTTATGGCCCCCAATAGAGTCATAGTATCATAGCCTCCCCTGCAAAAAAAAGCCCTATTCTACTACTAATTCAGGTTACATTACTAGTTCAGGCCTCTCTATTCATGACGGTTTGGGTTTTGGGGTTCGGGTTTGGGGGGGTGTGGCCTGCAGCAGGTGCTTTAAGGAGGAGGGCTTTCGGCGCACTGTAGTTGCGGGCTACAAGAAGCATTGCTAGAAGGGTTCTAGGCGAAAGAAGTTTAGGCGGTTTTGGGGTGCTGTAAGATTTTAGGGCACTAAACCCTAAACCCTAAACAAACATCCCTTCAAGGGAGGCCTTAAAGGGAACCCCATTATAGATACTAATAGGGTCTCCAGATTTCGGGTTCATGGCTGTTTGGGGTGTGAAGATGACGGTTCGAGGCTCAGAGAGCCGGCAAAACAGCTGAGGCGCTTACAAGGTTTAGGGGTTTAGGGTTTAGGGTTTCTATTAACTTAATAGGTTTTTTGGGTTTAGGGTTAAGAACTTCCAATCTCGAGAAGGTTCGGTGGGTTTTGCTATCTGTGAGGAATCCGTAGTAGCTTCAGTTTTTTGGGCACTGTCGAAGCCTGCTAACAAACCTTATGAATGCTTTGTGTAGAAACGATACTTGAAGAAGGCTGAGAATTACGAGAATCGCCGCACTCTTAATTTAGGACGGTCGCAGACATCATCCGCGGCTTTAAGGTTTGAGGGTTCCGGGTTCCTTGCATCGTGGCTTGTTCTGACTGTCCTGAGGCCTGAGGATTCCTTCGGTATGAGGTCCCTGGACGACCTGAGATCCAAGCTTTGAAACCCCTTTGAAGATGGCAGTTTCCTCAAGACCTCAAATAGCATCCTGACTGTATAAGGACCCCCATGGACCCCCAAAAGGGGCCCCGACTTCTCTGAAACCTGCACATCTGCCCTCCTGACGCTCAAAGCCAACAAATCGTACAGAACCCGGCAGTTCCAAAGCCCGCCTAAGCCCTAAACCAGTACTCTGGAACCTTAAACTCCCTGGTTCCTTGTCGGGAAAAGGGGAATGGATCCCAATGATAGTCACTTAACGGCCCCTATAGTAGTCCCAATAACCCCTTCCCCCTTCCCTACAAAGAACCAGGGAGTAAAGCTCGACGCCCCTAGACCCTAGACCCCCAAAGCCTGAACTCCCTTGAGATGCGACACACGAGACCTCGTCTAGCAGAGTCCGAGTTGCGAGACCCTAAATCCCTCAAGCCCGAAGGAACACACTGCGCATCTACATCGGAGCCTGAGCTGTAAGGGCTAATTCGGGCTAATATGAGGCTTCGTAGGGTTGATCAGGCTCTGGGGTTTCAAGGCTTAGGATGTGTTTTGGCAGGAGTTGACGGTTTATCCGGTTTCTGTGGTTTAGAAGGCTTCAGGATTGTTCTGTTTTTACCTTTCTTTGCTACTTCCGTCGCGGCAGTGCCCGGGTCATGACCGAGATGTGTTCTTTAGTTCGCCTGGTTCTGCAGAAAAGCAGCTACAATTCTGAATAATTTCCGCGCGCGCGAACTATGCGATCCAGCAATTGGATGTTGTCCCAGGTTGAGGTTGGTGCTTTGGATTAGGTGGTTTGGTAGTGTTTTCCGAGGTTTCAGTCAGAATGGTGCGGTGTTATTTCACCAACTTCAAGCAAGCTAAGTACCCACAGGCATC